AATAAATCGTCTACTTTGAGTTTTCATATGTGTACTATTTTTAGTACAAATTTCATAATTGAAGGTAATTATTTTTTGGGACTGAAGGAGTAAAATTTATACGTGTGTTTTGTGCATCAAACCCATTCGATTAGATTCTTTTTCTTTTTCCTTTTTTAGTGAAAAGAATTCAGCACACATTCCTTACGCAAATTGATTAGTTGACAATTTGAACTGAAGATGTAGCAAGACTCGACAAACTGTTCCATGGGCATCAATATATAGCTGCTCTATCGTATAGAATAGACACGCTAAAGACATCTCCAATATCTTCACTTGTGTGTTATTTTCTCCATTCTGCATGCTTATTTAGACTGTCTTTACTGGTTAGTCAGAAATGACATAATACTTCTTTCGTCCCAAAAGAAAAAAAACATTATCTATTATGTTAACAAAGATAATTCCAAATTTCGAAAAAGTGTTTTTTTTATTGGTTAAATTCCTTAAAGATGCATATATAATTCATGTGAAGTCTCGAAATTCATTTATCTCTTTTTCTAATTCCTTCCGTATATATCTTCTGTGTTCCATGAATCATAATTTACTTTGTTGAAATAAACAACTTCAACCACGGGGATTATTTTCAACGTCGTAACTATATCAACCTACCTCTTATTTGAAAGGAATTTAGATACATTATCATTAATGCACATGAAGTTGACCAAACTTGCAAATTGCACTAAACATATATGTGCATATATAGCTAGTAGACCACTGGACTAAAATGACCACCCTATCTTATAGATTTTGCCCACCATAAAGATCCGATTTTCCAAATTAAGAGACGACTAGGTCTCCATTTGTTGATATTTTCTCACATTGCCATGATTCCAAGTTCATCCATGATGCGGCTAGAAACTTGGCAAGTGGACAACCTCTAGCTCGATCCGCTTCATTTGCATCGTGATTCAAGCACACTTTTCCGTTCGCAAAGAACCACCGTAATGACTTCCATGTATCATACTTAAAAACATGGTCACACTGATCAGCTTGAAATGTCTCGATTTTCAGTGGAATCATCAATATCATTGACCCGAGAAGCATGGAAGGTAAATAAAATATAATGTACCATCCAGAGGCTTAAAATAAGAACTGGAAAATATGCAAGAGTTAGAATAAAGTTGTTATTTTCACTTTTGCTTTTACATCAGTTTTAAGACTACCTCAAGGTGAATAAAATGTTAGAATGACAAAATAATTAGTCAATGTGTTTGAATTTTTGAAAGGGGAAGTGAATCAATCAGGATCGTAATATAGCGTTGTGTAACATAATCATTGGTACTCTCAGGAATAACACCTTGTCTCGAGCCATAAAATTTAAACACCGATTATTTAAACTTTACCTTTGATACTGTATCTATTAGATTCGGTCAACAGCTAAAAGTAAGATTGAAAGTCTAATAAACCAAAGATAAATCTAAGGTATAATTGTAAAAAAATATGGTACAAGATGTAATTAAACTATATATCCTGAGAGTAAATTTTGACTCTCATCTTTGAATTTTTTTTTTTTTTTGTAATGCCAGGGACCCCACTAGAAATGGGTAAATTCACGCCCACTCCAATAGCCTGCAAACCACAATGGAAGGTCACCCTAGCAAACCCGGATTGATAAGCTCATGTGCAAAATTAGGGGTCTTTGAATACTTTTTGCCCCTTATATCCTTTCAACTCTCATTACTTTTGGTTCTACCCAGCACTAAATTGTACAACAAATTCAGTTGTGTATGATTGAACTCATGGATTGATCTTTGTTTGCATTTTCCAGTACTCACTGCCCCATCTCTCTCCTTACATGGTTAACTTAGCTTTTTCATCATTAAATGCTTTAAGTGCCTCAGGGACATGCTAGGGCTTTAGCACAAATCTCAGTTGCTTTGGGAGGAATTTCAGGCTTGAACTTCAACAGCTTAGAATATTCATTCAAGAAATGGAATATGTAGTAAAAAATGCATTCCATCTTCATATCCTCTTGGATGAATCGACTGCCTGCGGCTCCAATCGCCTCTGCCTGCATTTCCAATTAATATATAACAACATATATATTAGCCTTGCTAATTAAGATTTCCTGAGATAATAATCAGATTCAGTTTCCCTAATTCTCCCTTCTTTTTCAGTCCTCTTTTAAGTGGATTATTTCTTTTAGTACAGAGGGAATATATTTTTGAAGGATTACTTCTTTTAAGTGGATTATTTTGAACGTGCTTTTCCTCGTAAATATATATCCATCTGCCTCGGATTTGAAAGGAATTTAGATACATTCTCAATGCGCATAAAGTTGACCAAACTTGCAACTTGAACTAAACATGTATGTGCAAATATAGCTAGTAAACTATTGGACGAAAATGGTAATGCACATGTGCTGCCATTTGTAACCACCCTATCTTACAGCATAGATTGCCCACCCTAAAGATCAATTTTCCAAAATAAGAGGTCTACTATATACGTCTCCACTTGTGATATTTTCTCACTACTTCCCGCTACCTTAGACTATGTTTAAATACCGGTGGAATTGCATGCAAATACATATTTTCCGCTTTCTTACCATGGCCATTCGTTTTTTTATGCAAATGATGGAACAAAACCGAGGGTTAATTAAATTGGATTTTAATTTGTAGATACTCTTTAGGGTATAGATTGGCCTTGTTAAGTAGCCAGAAATGTTGCAACTAGAATATACTTACTATGTCCTAAAATAAGTTTTTTTTTTTTCAAGTTAACATACTTATCAACAACATGATTCTAAAAGATTTAAAATAAATGAATAAATACACGTGCTCAAAGCCAAAAGAGAAAAAAAGTTAGTTTAAGACAGCGATTTTGATCTGACGTAATGTGTATGAGACTTTATCAAGGTTTCCCAATCCCTTTTCGGATTCTAGGAAAGCTGCTGAAAATCCTCCCAATTTTCAATTAGTCATGTTCGGTATGGTGAAAAATGTTTCAGATGATGGTAATTAAAAGCGATGGAATCATAGTGAATTTGAAGCAAACCACCCAGTAATCGAGTTCCCGCGATACAATTTTGAAGCATATTTATTAAGAATTATCTTTGATATAAACGGAATGCCGTCTTTGATTAGCAGGCTCATGAGGTGTGATGTTATTGGAGATGTTAAAGTTTAGGTTTAGAGACCTCATTCTTCCTCCGAATACCGCAGAAAATACTTCTCTTCTTAATTATTACTAAAAACTTGTAAATTAAGAAATTAAGTCATGCATGCAGTTCAATGAACGACGAATCCAACTATAAGTTGGGAGTAAAATATAGTTCATCCTTTATTGATACAGGTCATTACAAGGTCATAACATTATAATCCCAGCCCAAAACACCATTTCATTTTCTTTAAAAAAAAAAGGTTGTACATAATTAATCACCATTTTGTATACTTACCAACAAAGCTTGCAAAGCGCGAGCCAGCATACAAGGTTCCAGCTTGAAAAAGATTAAAGTATTCTTGCACAACATTAACGCGAACGTTGCCGAATTCCGCAGTGAAGTTCTTGATCAGAACTATGTTACCACTTGAACAAAATTTATAACCATAAGGCTGAGACACAGGAGTAGGTTGCTGCTGAACCACTTGGTTTACTGCCACCCAAAAATATCCAAGTTCTGCGGCTCTCTTGTTTTTGACAGGAGAACCTGGTAAGTTAGATATTAGAACTTCGGTTGTTCCTGCTTTTGGCCCTATCAGATAATACTTTTGTAAATCTGTTGAGTGCCGGAAGAACTATAAACTATAAATGTTCCGTCCGCGCTAACCGCGGGTCCTCCTTGAAAGGGAAGATCATTTAACAGTACTCTCGCTACTCAAGTTGATGTGTTATATTCTAATAATCTTCTGGGGAAAATTTACTTATTAATACCTGAAAAAAAAAATGAAGAACAAAATATGCTTAGGGTTTAAATTGTGCCCAAAAATAGCTTTTTCGGGCTTCAGAAACGCGAAAAAACCAAAATCCGCGTTTTGAAAACGCTAAAAATGAAAATTCCCGTTTTCAAAATGCTAATATATGTTTTTCGCGTTTCAGAAACGCGAAAAATAAGAAGACGTAATTAATTTAACTTAATCCTAATTAATTAATTTGAATAAATAAGAATTCGCGTTTTCAAAGCGCGAAATCAATTAAAAAAATATTTTATTTAAATAAAAAAGAAAATATGCATAAAAATATGATTAATTTGACTAGTTTAAAACGTTATAGGGATTTGAATAATGGTAACAGAAAATTTTAAAATTATAATTGTTAATCATTAAATTTTGAATAGAGCTACAAAGAGGTAAATTATATTGATAATTTTAATAATGCGCAAATTAAATTTTGAATAAGAATATAATATTATAATTGATACTCATTAAATTAAATAGAGCTATACTAAATATAAATTATTAAAAGCATGATATAGTTATTATAATGTATTAATTTTTTAGAACATTATATAAAAAAATTTAATAATGATTATAATGATTATATTAAAAATGTAATCATTATGTTAAAAAATAATTTTATATGAAAAATTTTCAATAATGATAATGACGTAATTTTATGGATTTAATGAGATGTAATTTAATTTACAAATTATTTTTATTAATTATGATGGTTTTAATATAAGAAAAAAGCTTAAAATAGGAATAAATTTTGTTAAATATTTATTACAATTTACCAACACTTAAGATGAAGCAACTATTAATTATGAAAAAAAATATAAGAAAGTTTAAATATGTGTTTCGATTTGATCGGCGAAGATGTGTTTTATAAATATTAATTATTGTATTTACGATGCAGGTGAAATCAAACTATTAAGAATATTAATACAAGTCATAACAAAATACTACAAGTCATAACAAAAGGTAAAAAAAATAAAACAAGTCATAACAAAAGGAAAAAAAACAGAAATGAACAAAAGGGAAAAAAAAAATACAAGTCTAATAATACTACATAAGAAGTCTAGTACCCTACTTCTTCTTGGGCTTTTTAGCCCGAAAAAGGCTATAAGTCAATCTATCGGGCTCCTTCGTCACTCTCTGGCCTTTACTCACAGCCAACGGTGGAGTCCCTAGAGTCTGACTCAATCCCTGCTCCTCATGGCGCTGATAACCCTGACCTTCAAACTGATCATCCTGGTCTGCATCCTCAGCCTCATCTTCACCCTGACTCTCACGCTCACCCTCAACTGGGTCATCAGCCTGATGCTGACCCGCAACACCCTCGAACATACTCGAAAGAAAGTTACTCGTGTAATGTATCGACTGGCCATCTAGCGAACTCTGCTGAAACCCAGAAAAGTCAATAAAAGAATCTCCAAACTGACGCTGAGAAGTCTAAGGGGAGGAAAACTGAGTGAAGGCAAAATTGGACTGCTGGTGCTGGGGAGACATAATCGGACGGTAAAACGCCTGTTGGGTCGGCGAAGAATGATGTGGAGACTGATGGGATGAATGATGTGGAGACTGATGGGCTGAATGCTGTCGAGAATGGAGTGGAGACTGATGTGGAGACTAATGGGATGAACCGCCAGTGAAGGAAAAATGAGACTGCTCATGCTGGGAGGACTGATGTGGCTGAGATGATGTGATTGTCTCTTGCCCCCCACGCCCACGCTGAGACCTGCGCAAACGCCTCGGAGGTCTGGGTGGTGGATGTTGCTGGGTCGGGTCTACAGGTGCAAGTTCTTGACTCAAAATGTCATGAACCTCAGCATGCCTATCGAGATCGTGACGTACAACATTTGTTGCATTGACGGACAACGCCCGCTCAGCAACCTGGGCAATCTCGCCTAAGCGATCATAACCAAAGGAGTCCGCGTCGAAAGTACGCTGGCCTATAATACTCAGACTACGAACGTCCTCCATCAATGTGGCCTGAAATTTTTATTAGAAAGAATCATAAATCGACAACAGTGTTAATAAAAAGAACCAAATGGACTGTAGGCGAAATACTCACCATGAGGCGCAAAGTCTCTGCAGAACCGTGAAAACCCCTCGCATTTTCAGAGTTCGTCGGATCCGTAACATACTTTACAGTAACCTGATGGTACCACAAGAGATACTCCGGATCTGCAGAAGGCTCGCCAACATAATCATCATCAGTCCCCACAAGTTGGCCGTGGCGATCATTCCAAACCTGGAGATATATCCCTAGTTGTTGTAACCATCTCCTATCGGATCCTCCAAACGGCTTTCTCTTGAGCAGGCTAGTAATTTCCGCCGCAGTGAGAAGTAATGCGTCGCCGGGTATCCGCTGGTAATAACCAAATTGGCGAAATACCCTACTGGGGTTGTGTGGCGCAACGACATCACCGCAGATGAGCCATGTCTGAGATCGCCATATGCCCTGTCCCACAAGACAAACCCTGGCAATACGACCCAAAAGAGTCGTGTACGGCATCCATACAAACTGCAATGGTAATTAAGTAAGAGACGCGTAATTAAAAGTCCGACACCGTTAAAAAAAACGAATAAAACATAAGTTATACTAATTGAATAGAATACTAACATCAGACTCTGCGAGAATTGCAAGCTGATCCCGGTACGCGGCCAAATTGAACCGCGTGATACCTTGAACTTTTTTCTCACGGGACCACCTGCACGGAGAAAGTAACATTAAATTGAGACATGACAGTACAAATCAAAATGTCAAAATTTACGATGGGAACATGTATAAGATTACCTCGTGCCCAATGGACAATCAGATAGATCGAGATCCCCACCCAGTATCTTGGGCTGAACCGTCAAAATCCGCTCCCAGGCCCAGAGCTAATTCAGAATGAAGAAATCATTAGCTAAAATCACCAATAATAATGGGAGAATATAAAATGAAACTAGAGAGAAATGAAAAGATAAAATACTTGAAGAAGAATCACACAGCCGGTAATAGCCTTGGCAGAAGCGGCCAGAGATGACGTGGACATGCTGCGGTACAAGTAACATAGTGCCGCACTACCCCAACTGTACTCCGAGCAAATCTTGGGAGTATGAAGAAAATGCACAAGATCGAGAGGAAAACTGTTTCTCGTAGTGTTTGAGAACAGTAATCCACCAACGAGCCATCCAACAAAACAACGGGCTCACTGTAGGTGTGCATCGTCAGGGGACAGGTCCGTCAAAGGATTATTCTCTATGTGAGTCTTTATTTCAGTGATGGAAATGCTCGTCAATCTAGACTCCTCTGTCTGGAACCTAAATCCAAACATCCTCTCCAAATAGTCTGCCCAACCACCATCAGGCATGGTGTGATGTCCTCAGAATCGGACGTCCATCAACCCAAGACCCAAAAGAACCTCGACGTCCCGGAGTGTGATAGTAGCCTCCCCAAAAGGTAAATGAAATGTATGGGTCTCTGGGCGCCATCGCTCCACAAGAGCTGTAAGCAGGGCATGGTCACATCTTATGGACCCAACTCTAGAGAACGGTCCAAAACCAAATTTCTCAATATATTCCTTTGTCAACCTCGGTGCATCTTTTATTAATTTCCACGCGGCGCTATCTACGCGCCTGGGCTCCGAAATCCCTATATCATACTGTGCACCATGGAATATATTGTGTGACCTATAGGCGTTTTGGAAAAACAACAAACTACTGTCTCTGGGTCCCTGCCGTAGCTTCTTTGAGGTAGATTGGGAGGAAGAAGATGATCCAATGTCCATGGCTAGTACAATTTACAAATAATTTTAGTAAGTACAGATTAATATTATTATTCTTTTTTATCATCCTATACATTAAAAATTCAAACCTTACATTTTAGTAAATACAGATTAATATTATTATTCTTTTTTATTATCCTATACATTAAAAATTCCAACCCTACATTTTAGTAAATACGGATTAATATTATTTTTCTAATCTAATTATCCTATACATTAAAAATTCCAACCCTACATTTTAGTAAATACTGATTAATATTATTATTCTAATCTAATTATCATATACATTAAAAATTTCAACCCTACATTTTAGTAAATACGGATTAATATTATTATTCTAATCTAATTATCCTATACATTAAAAATTTCAACCCTAAATTTTATTATCCTAAATTTGCATATAAATAGTCTTTTTCTTATTATTAAGAGAGGGAGGAGAAGAGGCACAACACAGGGAGCAACAGTTAGAGCTCAGGACAAGGATTTCTCTCCGTTTTCGTCAGTTTTAGCTCTGTAATGTCAAACATCAATTCTTTTGTTGTTGATTTCACCATGATTAGCAACTAAACCTCTTTTCTAGTTAAAGGATTTTATTGAAGTCTTGATGTTATTCAATTGTGAGATCTAACCGTTTGCTTTTCACCAACGAATTTTGAGTATTTATTTATTCTCTTTGATGTGTATTGATGATTATTTGGCATTATTTGAATAGCTGGTAGCATTCAATTCTCCTAGATAATCTAATTTATTGAACAACAAGGTTTGTTTGTTCCTTAGAAGAGACAATGCAAATAATTACTTGGTAAGTAGTTTACTTGTGTTGTGAGAATAAATAATCAATTCTTAATGAAACAAGGTTTGTTTGTTAGAAATTGAATTGGGTTTTTGCTTGTCAAAAACTAAATCCTAGGAGGTTCCAGGTAGTGTTTTTTTTGGCTATAGAGTGATTAATGAAGGTTTTTTAGTCACTGGTAGTTAAATAAAAAGACTGAGTTGTTAAGAGGTTCCAACAACGATAACTAATATATTCATCATTTATTGAGTTAATCTTTGCATCAATGATCAGTTGGATACGTGAAGGTGGAAATTATTCCTTTGACTAGAGTTGCTCTTATTATTGATTTTCCAAAAGTATCTTTTATTGCATGCAAATTATTTTTGTTATTCATTAGTTACAAATCCAAAATCTCTCCCATTTGGTTACTTTGCTTTTGATTAGAAATATTTTCACTTCCTTGCTCCCTGAGGAGACGACTCTACTCATTGCTATGCTACTCAATTTTTTAGGAGTAGAATCTTTTATTTTTGTTGGTTTGACAACCCACCACAAACTAAGATATCTTAAGAAAACAAAAGTTTTGAGGTAGCATATACTATGAGTCAGGAATACCACGCAACTTATCAGTTCTTCCAGAAATACAACATACAGAATTACAACATTGATTGTGAAAACTATTTTGCGTGTTACATTTATACAGAATTACAACATATAACTATGGTAACTATTTATCTACCTAAATTTACATGTACTTATCTTATGTAAATATTGTAATTATACAATATAATCTCATTACTCCCCCTCAAGTCGGAGCATGTAGATCTAGAATGGCCGACTTGCGTAATAATGCATGGAACTGATCACGACCCAAAGCTTTCGTGAAAATATCTGCCAGTTGTAGTTTCCAAGAAATTTGGCGAGGAACCAAAAGTTTCGTCTGAAAATGATGATGAATGAAATGGCAATCAATCTCTATATGTTTCGTCTGCTCATGAAACACGGGATTCGCCACAATGTAAATCGCAACATGGTTATCATAGAAGAGAAAGATTGGTCCCGAGGATGGAACACCCAATTCCGACAACAAACGAACGAGCCACACTAACTCACTAGAAGTGATAGCCATGGCTCTATATTCTTCTTCTAGTGAGGAACAAGATACCACTGTTTGTTTCTTGGAGCGCCAAGAAATAGGAGAAGATCCCAAGAACACAAGAAACCCAGTAGTGGATCTGCGCGTGGTAGGACAACCTGCCAAATTCGCATCACAATATGCCCGTAAATGCAAAAAATTTGCAAAATGAAGGTAAATATCTTGACCTGGTGCACCTTTCAAATAATGCAGAACTCTGAAGGCGGCATCCATACGTTGTCGATGAGGTTTCTGGATGAATTGACTAAGGACATGAACATCATAACTAATACCTAGACGTGTGATAGTCAAGTATAGTAAGCTTTCCACAATACGCCTATAACGACCAGGATCATCACAAAGTTCAGCTTCTTCATGTGCAAGCCGATGGTGTTGCTCCATAGGAGTGGCACAAGGTCGACAGGCAATGAGTCCACATTCAGCAAGAACACCCAAGGTGTATTTCCTCTGAGTAAGGGCAATACCAGCAGGAGAACGAGCAACTTAAATGCCCAAAAAATATTTGAGCGCTCCAAGCTCCTTTATGTGGAACTGACTGTTGAGATATTGTTTGAGGTTGCTTATCTTTGGAAGATCATTCCGAGTAACAATAATACAAATCGTCAACATAGATAAGGATAGCAATGAAACAATTCTCATGTGTGTAGGTGAATAAGGAAGAATCAGAAAATGACTCCTTGAATCCAGCAGAAACTAGAGAATGAGAAAACTTTTGATACCAGTTGCGTGAAGCTTATCGCAAGCCAAAAAGAGACTTACGCAGGCGGCAAACTCGTTGCTCCCCCTTTCATGCAAAACCCTGGGGAATCTTCAGGTATACTTCTTCATGAAGGTAGCCATGGAGAAAGGTATTAGTTATATCCAATTGATGCAGTTTCTAAGACCTAACGACTGCAACCGCCAATAAACACCTGACAGTGACCAGCTTTGCAACAGGAGCACATGTTTCATTGAAATCAATGCCCTCAATCTGAGTATAGCCCTTTGCGACCAGTCAAGCCTTATAGCGCCTCAATGCTCCCATCCGGCTGAAACTTGATTTTATAAACCCATTTTGAGTCAATTGCCCTTTTCCAGGGGGCAAAGCTTCTAAATTGCAAGTGCCGTTGGCTTCAGAGCCGAGATCTCCTTACTCATTGCCTATCTCCAAGGTGCATGCTTAACTTCTTCAAAGAAAGAAGTAGGCTCATCTACAGAAGAGATGGCTGATAAAAAAGTAGTATGAGGTTTAGAAAAGCAATTGTAGCACAAGGAGCTGGAAAGAGGATATACCATCGAATTAGCTGATGGTGTGGTGGATGGCTCAAAGTTGGGAACCAGTGAAGGCAGTAAAGTATACTTATAACCAGAAAGGCGTTGTGACACTTGGCGAGATCGACGAGCTGGAGGAGAGGGCAATGGTGCAATGTCTTGTGTGCTAGGAAGAGGTGAAAATGGTGGATATTCATTTGTAACCGGAGATGACTCAGAAACCTCGGAAGGAAGTGGCATTGGAGAAGATTCATGAGCTGATGATTCTGCGGAAGCTGGTGGTTTTAATTCATTATCGGATGCAAAAGTGAGATCAATGTTTGTCCCAGGTTAATCTGAGGAAGATAACGGAAGAGAAGCTAAACAATAGGGAAAGTCATCTTCAAAGAAATGAACATCTCTAGAAGTAGTGATCATTTTACGATCAAGGTCAAAAACTCGATAACCCTTCTGCCCATGGGGATATCCAAAAAACAAAAAAGGATGACCATGAGATGCAAATTCGTCTCGGGCTTTGTAGATTCATGTACATAACAGAGGCACTCAAAAATACACAGATGTTCATATGATGGTTTTTTACCGAATAAAATCTCGTATGGAGTTTTATTATTCAATGAAGACAATGGCATGCGATTAATGAGATATGTGGCAGTAAGAACACATTTGTCCCAAACACTGATTGGTAAGTTTGCTTGAAACCTCAATGCCCTAGCAACTTCTAGAATATGACGATGCTTACGTTCTTCGTCTCCATTCTGTTGAGGCGTATATGTACAACTAGTTTGCTTCTCAATTCCATTATCCATAAAATGAGTCAACAAGGTAGAATGACTGAATTGAAGACCATTATCAGTTCGAAACACCTTAATCTTAGCATCAAATTGCGTTTTAACCCAGTTGAAAAATAACAACAAATATCTTTTGGTCTCAGACTTGTGACGCATGAGAAAAATCCATGTAGATCGACTATCATCATCCACAATAATAAAAAAATAATGTGCGCCAATTGAGGTTGGTGTTGCACCGTGTGAAGTAATTGTCTCCGATTTCGACCAGGACATTAGTAACAAATATCAAACCAGGATGATCCGATGAAGGGACGACGAAAGGAGACTTCAGGTCAACAATGGCAGTCGATTCAGCAGTAAGAACTTGTTGTTCCGATGGCGTTGCCGTAACTCGAGAAGAAGTCGGTGAAGTTGTTTCAACCTAGATTAACGATGGAGGAAACTGATCAATATGGCTGGATCTCAATCAATCAGCCGAAAGCTTCAATGGCTGAAAAAAAAAAAAAGCTGGCAGCCAAAAGATGTTTTTAGGTTTAGGGTTTTCTTTAGGCTCTCGATAACATGAAAAGTTGGATCCAAATTGATTCCACTGATTGTGTAAAAACTATTCGTGTTACATTTATACAGATTTACAACATATAACTATGATAACTAGATAACTACCGAAATTTACATGTAATTATCTTATGTAAATTTAGTAATTATACAATATAATTTCATTAATAAGATTTGGAACGAATTAAGTAACAGACTAGTGGTTAAGATGATGTCATTATTTTGAGTAGATCTAGATTTAATTTCTACAAGCTCGGGTTTGTAAATGGAGAATTTTATCTACATTTAAGTTGGATCTACTAAGGTGAATTGATACTTATATTCAGATGGATAATTAAAAAGTTTTTGTGCAACTTGCCTTTAAAACGTCATATTCCATTTTTTTTTTATCATACTTGCTAAGTAAATAGAGCCAGTGAACGAAACTGATGTTAAAAACTCTTTACATTAGTGAAACAAGTTCTATGATATGGACAAACACAATGATGTACGATAAAACTCTTTTAGTTGGTAATGAAATCACTTTTTATCCAAAAAAAAAGGAAAGAAAAGAGAGAGACGCATGAGGGTTAGGGCATTAATTTTGCGATTAATTCCAATTAAGGTTTATGCATGGGATGTGGGGTTGAAATAGGTGCAAGCCAAAGTAGATGATGAGTAGTTTTCTTATTATTCGAGATAAAAGATTATAAGGCCACTTGAGAGCATTCTTTGAGGAGTACATAAATTACTAAGGCGTATTTATTAGGAACTATCTTCTATACGAATTGACGCATATTTAGAGGCCAAACAAACAAAAGCTATATTCTGCCAATAACCAACATTGCATATAAATGTAAAACCAGCTTCTCTTACTAAAAATAGTGAGTCTATGTAAAGCTAGCTCACAAATTTATTGAAAGAAGCCATTACAAGACCATTATTTACTTCACATAATTTTATAGTACAAGGGTCATATGTAATTTTATTATAGACAAAATGGTGGCCAAGTAATGATCATCTCCATTTTGTATACACGCCAACATAATTAACACTTCGTGAGCGTGAGCCAACATATAAGGTTGCTCCCTGTATAACATCAGAGTACTCTTGCACAACATTAATTTGAGCATTGCCGTATTCCGCAGTAAAATTCTTAAGAATAATTATGTCACCCTGTGAATTGAACTTGTATCCATATCCATTAGTCAAACGAGGTTGCTGTTGAACAATCACGTTTGCTGTCCCCCAAAACAATCCGAATTCCGGGGCTCTCTTGATTTTGACCGGAAAACCTAGTAAACTATTAATCAGAACTTCGGATGCTCCTGCTTTTGGCCCTATCAGATAATATTTGTAAACCTTTTGAGTGGTGAAAGAACCGTACACAATAAACGAGCTGTCTGAACTAACTGCTGGTCCTCCCGGACGAGGAATGTTCCTCAATAATTCTCTTACTTCTCCGGTTACGGTGTTATATTCTAATAATCTTCCACTTGAATCCCCTGGAGGAGCTGGGATTCCTAAGCTAGCATCCCTATGTTACCAAAACATATATAGCATAAATAAAGGCGAAATCCAGTTGAAATAGTAATGATAAAATGCTCCAAGAACGAATCAATGAATTGAATCAACACCTACGTAAAATTGTATACCAGACTGGCATCGGTGAAGTAAACAACTCTTCTGAGTTTATCAAACTCGCATCCATTGAGAAAGTTGAACGTTACGCCATTTGCACTAGTAGCAAGTAACGTGGCTTGTCCACCTTGGGGGCCAACTCTATAGAATCCACCATAAGCACCCACAATGTAAAGATAACCAAAAATCGGGTCAAAACTAAAACCTAATGGCCTTCCGCAGACAGGACCCAAACTTAGGTTTGTCACTCCATCACATAACTGTTTTGACCTGAGACAAAAAAAAAAAAAAAAAAAAATGGAAGAAGAAGAAGAAAGAAATGCATCTTGTATTACACTTGGTTGATTATATATATACAGGTAGTTTCGCCCATATATAGAATAAGATTAGTAAACAAAAACAGATAATTAAAAAGAATATCTCATTTATATATATAGTCTTTTTCCCGTGAGATGATCATATTTGTTTACCGGGAAATTAAGGAGTTCATCGGTCCCAAAATGATTATCCAGTTTGAGATTTCACTTTTAGTACAATTCAAACTAAAAACGAAAACTTCAACTGAACAATAATTTTAGAATGGAGGGAGTATTTTACTAGTATACTCAAACATTTCATTAAAATAAGTCCTAATTAAACACTGCACCAGTTTGGTAAACATATGGTGTAACATATATTAGAAGAAAAATTTAACCTGTTTGGTGAAAGGTAAGCAAAATCCACGAAATCCGTGCCATTGTACTTGAGAATTCTGCCATCACTAACACCCACATAGGGACCTTGATTATTTGGATCTCGGGAAACTGAATCGGGACCAAAAGGTCCAGGTACTGGAAGATTGAGTTTGGAAAATCCCGTGTACAGATCGGGAATTGGGAAAGCAAATAATTGAGGAATGAAAAACTGGACGCCAAAAACCAATAACAATATTGTGTACAACATTATTGTACTTTGCTATTTCGAGAACAAATTAAGGTGATAAGAATTTAGAAAGAAATTCTGCATTATTTATAGGCAGGGGGATATCGGCTTAAGGTGTGCAGGTATAGGACGGCACGAAGCTTGTAGGATCTAGTGCATTATTATGCAAGCTTCCGGTGAAGATATCGAACAGTATGGAAACTGGAGTTAATTAGTTCAAATCAATGAATTTTGCCTCCCAAAAGAATTTACCCGACTTATATTCAAATTAGTTGAGCAATGATTTCAAATATAATACAAAAAATAGTTTATCAGAGCTCCAAAAAAAAAAGTCAATATTTCGATCATATCTATTTAAACATATATGTATATTACGACCTGTATGTTATAATTTTTAAAATATATCGATCATATTTATTTTGAAAAAAATATTACCAATTATAGCAAGTTATGAAATGACCTTCCTTTTAAAGTCCATCACTCAATTACGTCCGGCATGTCATAGTCTTTGCTAGTGTAAGCCGCCCCCCCCCCCCATGTGTAATCTGTTTCGGAACATAGCCCTCTCTCTACATAAACCAAACAAATGCAATGACTTCTTTCTTCTTTTTCTTTTTCCACTAATCATATACTCCCTCCACTAAGAAAAATGTAGATGAATTTAGAAAAACAGAATCTATAAATTGGACAATTTAATCTTTCAAATGAAAAGGTTACGTTTAAGAAAGTTTTTCATAAATTCACTTAAACAAACATAAAAACTTTCTTACTATGTAGAAACTCGAGTTGAACATTGCGATTTTGTGACGTTATGATATATGTTAGTATAAAGGCTACTGCCATCACCTATCCTTATCCCCTCTCTATACGCAGATCGAACTTAGATCCCCTACCTACAGCACTGCCACTCTTTGAAAGGAAATCACTTACCTTCTCAACGCACATTAATTTGTTGACCTAACTTGGCACTTTTAGCCACACTACTGTATAGATTGGCCAAACCTGCAAATAAACTTCCCGAATTGGGTTATCCTTATGTCTTCTCTAGTGTTTTCACAAGTTTTCTTTTCTTTTTTTTCTCCCCGTTTCTTGTTAGGTCATCGAGCTCGCAAGTGGCAATTACTACTGGAGATGCACTGGATAAAAATTTTTCATATTCTCGGAATTCCTTTTTTTTTTTTTGTTCTTTAGAAGTATATTTTATCAAAAGAAAACAATTTGACATACAGGAGGCGCACGAAATGGGTTTGTTGCACCAAGCTAGTTAGCAAACTAACGACATCTACATACCTACATGCATCAAATCTACTGCAACAAATTTTCATAAAAAAAATTAAATTTTACTTTAAACTATCACCAACCACTCTAACTTACCACTCATTCTTTAATATTTTCTCAAATTCACATACAGAATATACACGGCCAGAGGCTAGGTTTGAACATAGGAAGATTAATGCAGTTTGTTTCTTTTTTTAAAAAAAAAAAAAAAAAAGAACTGAAGTTAATTAATCGCTGTAACCCAAAACAAAAGGCAGATTTTTCCATAGACCCGGTTCCATGGAAGGAGTGGTGCATCCCCTCTTCAAAATTAGACAATTGTCCAATTTGGGGGATCAGGTGGGGTTCACTCAATTTTTTATACCACCTACGTCCCATAAAAATAGTCCACACTGAGTTTTCAAATTTGTACTAAAAACAATACAAAACTCAAAACTCAATGTGGACTATTTTTGTGAGACGGAGGGAGTAAAATTTTTGGGATCTCTTTATAATTTCAGTTAATTACATGGCAGTTTTTATTATTTTGAAAACAAGTTTTAAAAAAATCCAAAACAATAAAATGGTTTTATCTCTTGATCCATAAACAATTAAAAAATATGTTATACATTTAATTTATAGTATTCAGCGATATTTATACAACGATCTCCATGTTAAATACATTTTTAAAATTTTATAATTAGGATTCTATAGTCTTAGATTTTTAATGTATCTATTTTGTAACTATATTCCTGGAACTTCAAAAAAATTATCACAAGAACTTTAAAACTATATTGCTGGAATATCAAAATATTACAATAGGAACTTTGTAACTATGCTGCTGGAACATTAAAATATATTCATGTTTAGGATTTAAAATACTTAAATTCAAACAATATTTTTCTCCCATATGGCGTTTAGGATTTATAGTTTAGAATGGTTTAAATACCACCCTTAATGGTTTAGGGTTTAGTTGCGTGCAAACACCCGATTTTGAATTTAAGGATTTTGATTAGTGATATGAAAATAACAAAATGAACAACAAAATAACAAAAATGGAGAGCATTTTGTGCAGCATTGTACTATAACTAGCTAAAACAGCTAGCAAGAAGAATGGTGGTATTAAAAACTGAAATTTGAGTACAATATATATACGCAGATTCACAATATAGGTACAAGTTCGTAGGGTTGCTGTAGCAGTAATATCCATAGCTGCAAATATACATAGATAAAAATAAATAAATTAGAATTTGTTTTTCGATCCCTTATACTCTCTCTGTCCCAAAATGACATAATCTCAAACGCCTATCAAGTTGACAAGACTTGCAACTTGGACGGAACATGCATATGTGTACAGCTTTGTGGACTTGACAAATATAGTAATACAATACCCCTTAGTGTGTTTGTTTGATGTTAGGTTTTTGTGCCTCTTCTATACCACGTCTCCACTCGCGTTATTTTCTCACTACTTCCCGCTTCTTTAGGGTATGTTAATTACCACGAGTTAGGTGTATGAATGCGAGCATGCAACTATGTTCAAATTAGAGTTGGCTGGTGCTATATACGGCCAGTTGTATCGTATACTCGTATTGGAAGTATTGGCCCGCCTTTTCATATTAATTACATTCAATTAGTAAGGTACTAAATCAATGCTGTGATGGGAGAGTTGTCTCTCTAAAAGGATCGATGTACCCAATATGGAATTGGATTATGGTCGAATAGTAGTAATTTTGAACATTTGAGTGTGCAATGCAACAATAATTCAATGGAGTCGCAATTTTTTCCCATAACTTTTCTCAATCAGTAGATAGTACTACTCCAATTTCAAAATATGTTGAGCAATAAAGTAGGAAAGTAAAATATTTCCGCTCCCTTTATTTTTTTTTTTTTGTTGAAATGTGAATGTATTTCATTGAAGTATCATCAACTGAACTTGTATCAAGAAGCTATTATAATGTCAAGACTTTCCAAAAACCTAACATCATCTCCACTTCCATTCCTATACATATGTGCAATTCTGCACTTCATTTCCTGCTGTATTTTCCTGATTCTATCACCATTTGCCTCATTTTTCTACTGGAACAGCCTTTTGTTCCTTTCTGTCCAAATATGGTACACCACTGCATTCAAACTAGCAAACAGAATCTTCCTTCTGGTTGCTTTATATTTCCAGATCTTCATCATTCTTGCAGCAAACAGTGTTTTGATCTGTGTTCTTATTCCCAGCCAGTGAGTAATGCCAGCCATCATTTCCTATGCATAGGAGCATTTAAAAAACAGATGTGCACCTGTTTTCTCCTCTTCCTTACACAGTATGCATGTTCGGTCTGTTACGTTCATCTTCATGCTTCTCATTCTGTCTTTAGTTAGCAATCTACCTTTCCAAGCTAACCATGCACAAAAACAATGTTTAGGAAGAGAGGATTTACTCCAATAAACAGCTGCTGGTATAAATTTCTCTCTACTACCTCTCAGCTAGCCATAGCCACTTCTAGCATCATACTGTTTACCCTTGTTTCCTTTCCAGTTACCATTTACTACTCTAGCCTTTAGTGCATCTCTGATCTTCATCAACTTCTTCCAATGCCAACTACAATCATTTGGAGGATTATAATTCCAAATACTCCTGCCTTTTAGGTAGTATATGTGCATCCATCTAATCCAGAGGCTATCTTTCTTTGATTCCAAATCCCACAACTGTTTTCCCAACATTGCTTTATTCCAAGCACCTGGTTCCTTTATGTTTAATCCTCCATCTCTCTTTGTATAACACAGATCATTCCAGGCTACCAAAGGAAGGCATTTTCCTGATTCTTTTTTCCCCCACAGAAACTTCCTACAACAAGAAGTAATTTCAATAATAACAGATTGTGGAATAAGAAAAATACTTGCCCAATAGCTGTGAAGGGTCATCAACACTACATTGATCAACACTGCATTGATCAACACTGTTCTTCCTGCATATGAAAGATGCCTGAATTTCCAACATTTCATCCTTGCAGTTACTTTGTCCACTAAGTACTGGCAATCTGATTTACTCCATGCAGTTGGAGCAACTGGAAGTCCTAAGTATCTCATAGGAAATGTTCCAATTTCAAATTCCATCACCTGCCTTATCACCTTTTCTGTACTTTCTCCTGATCCACCAAAATACAGATTAGACTTCCCTTCATTGATTGTCAACCCAGTGGTGCTTGCAAAATGATCCAGAGTTCCTTTAACCTTCCTGACTGTACTAATCTCAGCTCCACAGAATATTAGAAGATCATCTGCAAAGTTTAGTGATGTGATATTCAACTTTTCATAGTATGGATGTTTCACAAATCCATCCATATTTGCCACCAATTTAAAGCTCCTGGTTAGGTATTCCATTACTAGCACAAAGAGCAATGGAGACATTGGATCACCTTGCCTTAATCCTCTTTGACCTGAAAAATACGCAACACTAGTTCCATTAAGGTTCAGTGAGTAAGTTGATGAAGTCACACATTCCATAATCCATTTTCTAAACCTCTCAGGAAACTTGTATTCTTGCAACATTTCCTCAAGGAACTCCCAGTGAACTGAATCATATGCCTTCCTTAAATCAACCTTCATCATACAGGATGGCTTGGCTGATTTCCTGTTATACAATCTGATTAAGGTTGAGTGCAATCAGGGAGCATTTGTCAAGGGAAGATTAATGCTTCAGAGCATTAATCTTCCCTTGACAAATGCTCCCTGATTGCACTCCACTAAATCTGGTAACACAATGCTCAATCTTTTGCAAATCATCTTAGAGATGCTTTTATATATAGTATTA